CTCGACTCAAACAACTACAATATCATCAGAGAAACTTGTTGTTACTTTAGATATGTGTGCTAATCGCCAAATAAAAACTTTAGAATGCGAATACAAGACGGGAATTCATCGTTTATCTCACCAGGTTAAATGAACTTGTGGTGGAACGCTTTTACGAAGAGAACACAATTAGTGGAATAAAAACAGCTATTATTGCGCATAACTGTGACAACAATTGTTTTATTGTACTCCTTTTGTTTAACTGAACTAAAATCAGTTATTCGACCACACGACGTGCTAGTAACACTGCTCGTTGTCTTTGGTGGATCTATCCGCTTTCAAATCGCCTATCTTGATATTTTTTCGATAACACGAGACCAGCAATCAATACACCTCATTCTCAAATCACAGCCTGTATTATGATATTTGGCCTTAACGAGATTTAACCTAATTATCTCGCGATCTGTAGTCTCGATTCGCTACAAACTGATGGAAGCTTTTGTATAAATTGTCGTTTGTTATTTCGTCATCGTCTCGTTAAATTTTCCATTAAGAGCTTCGTAGTAAATGCATGAATAATAGAAAAAGGATCGTCGGCAATGCCTACGTAGTGATGGCCGAAAATAAATGGAAGTATGCATCACTCAGTAAATAATTGTATAAATTTCGTAATTCGAAACATCGTCATGGGTAATGGACTTCATTATCATTATCGTTATCATATAGACCATGATGTTCCACTTCTTGACGAATAGTTTGCACTTCTCATTAATTCCTCTGCTAATTCCCTAGCAGTTTTTCACAATCTTACTTCCGACTATGCAATTCTAGTGTTCAGTAGCGTTTTCTCCGAAAGAGGCCACTAAGTGTAGCTTCGCATCCACGACTCCTGCACCGCGCAGGATTCGAACCCAGGACCTTCGGTGTCGTGCGCGTGCGCCCTTACCGTTAGACCACTGAGCCTGTATCCAACGGTGTATTTGAAAAGCTTTTAGGTAGTTTGTTTACCTTTCCGTCGGCAAAGTTATTTGGCCAATTTTTATTATGGTACTGTGAAAAACGTACAATATATGCCAAATAAAAACTTCAGTTGCTAGCTGTTTACTGTTTTACATCTCATGCATGTACCGCTTTTATCTATGCAGAAGATAATTGCCTGATTTACTTTTTTCTATTGTTCTCAGTACGTATCTATCAATATATGCTCATGGCATAAAATAGCACTTTTTGGGGCCTTATGATCTACCAGATATTTGCTGACACATTCTCCTACCATCAGAAGAGTGAGTGGTAGCGGTAGTTAAACTAAAAATTGCACCTTAAGTCTTCAATAACTTAACTGGAAAAATGTTCTTTGTAAGAAGTCCTAGATATCTCCGTACCTGAATTGCCATATTGATCTCTTAAGTCGTTAATAAAGATGCTTTTCAAATACAGCAGTTATTGACTCATCGTATATATGACTATTTAAATAGTAAAGTTGTCTACCAAAACAGATATCAGAAAATGTCCGAAAGTTTTAATTGTTGAAAGAGTATTCTATTACGAATCATAGGTTGAAAAAGTGCAGTGATGTATGGCGATTCGTACGATATACTTCCTATGTCCAACATATTTTTCACGAGCTAGTGTAAACCAATTTGATTTCTTCGCTCTCGATTCTTATTCTTGCGGTACAGTTCCAGGTGTTCGAGGGATAACGTCCACACAGGAGACGTGTGAAGAGGAGAATGGGAATAACACGCTTGGTGCGCGAGAGACAGTCTTTAGTGCAGATAAATAAGAGGTGTACAATATAACAATTATTTCCAGCGTTAGGTACAATAACAAATGTTTATATTTCAGCAGTTGTGTTTTCTTCATAAAAGTAAACCACTACATTAGCCCCCCCTAGAAAGGGTTTACACTTTCGCTACTTAGTGGTTTTGTGCGGAAGAGAGCGATTGTAGGGCCGAAGGATTCACGGACTGGAAGCGACCAGTGAAGCTCGATTTGTCAACGAGATTCTTTTGAGCTGTACCAATAGTAACGTGACACATTTAGTGCTCGTGTTGTCATGCCACACCAGCTAGGCTCGTATCCAGAGTCTGGATATTGCGTCCGTAGGGGTTCGTACCAGAAAAATCTGCAGACGTAGGAAGGAACCAAATTGAGCCGAGTGGCCAGAAACGACCAGTTCGGAACCATTCGTATGCCAGAACATTCGAAACCAAAATATCAACTGAGTGCATTGACAAGAGCGTGGGTGATTAGGCCAGCTTTCACCGTAATTGACTGAAGTCGACGGCACCAACAGGATAATGATCGTAGACATAGGCTCAGGATACAAAATGAAAGAAAAAGAGAAGGGTGTAGCATACATGTAGTACGAGAATAGTGTACTATCACGTTTCCGTTGTTGCCTGGGTGGCTATTCGGGAAGGCGTACAGGTAGGCTTACGCGGCGACCGGAACGCGAGACGGTAGTCGCGTGCGTGCTTTGTGAGCCAGAAATCTCATCCGAAGTCAAGGACGGCGTGGTATGCTGATCTGGATGTGAGACCGGAGTCTCATCCGTAAATAGCGCAGACGGCGCGTGCTGTTGACTGGGACGTGAGAATGAGGTCTGTGAATTGTCTACCAAGGGACCCAAAGTAGCCTAAAAGATCCCGCTGGTAGGTTTGATAGGTCTAGCATTGAGTCTCGGATTAGCAAGTAGGGCACTTTCATCGACCTGTGCTGGTTTGAGACGATCAATGCTGAATACCTCGACACAGCCATGTCGAACAACCTTGAAGGTCTTTTCATGACGAGAAATCACGTGGCAAGGTCCTTCGTAAGGCTGTTGCAAAGGTTAGCGTACTGGATCAACTCGTATGAAAACATACGAGCAAGTAGATACCTCTCGAGAGAGAGTTACCTGCCGATGTTGTACTCGAGTTGACACCGGAGGCAGTACTCGCATAAATTCAGACAGTCGTAGGATGCAGACTGATTTATTGAAGTTATCATTGCTCCGTGGTGTGAAAAATTCCCCGGGCCGACGCAATGTCGTGCCGTATACCAATTCAGTGTCGTAACATTGAATATCTCCCTTTAAACTCGTTTTGATACCTAGGAGGACTAGCGGTAAGGTTTGGTACAAACTGTTGTTTTCGTGTGCTCGAAGAGCAGTTTTAAGTTGACGACGAAACCGTTCTACTAAACCATTCGAAGCTGGGTGGTAGGCGGTGCTGCGTATGCACTCCGTACCAAGCAACTGGGTTAGCGAGGTGAATAATTCGGACTCAAACCGTTGTCCCCAGTCAGTTGAACAGTCCAGGGACAGCCGTAAAGCACTATCCATCGTTTTACGAAGCGCTGAGCAACTGTTTCCACCATGACAGAAGTGAAGAGAATAGCTTTGGGCCATCCTGTGAATCGATCGATGCATGTCAGTATATGTTCATGCCCATGCGATGGTGGCAATGGTCCTACAATGTCAATTTGGACATAATCGAAGCGAGTATCAAGCATAGTAAATGTGGCGATGGGGGCGGCTACATGCCTGTGCACATTTGATCGTTGAAATTGTGAGCATTGCTGTACCCATATACGGACATTTTTATTCATGGAAGGTCAGACGTATTGTGCAGCGATGGGATGTAAAGTGGCTGCGATACCTGGATGAGACAAACCATGAACGGCATCGAGGACGAGACGACAATGAGCAGAAGGGTAAACCAGTAGAATTGTCACACAGGATAGTATCTGAGGTGATAGCTAGTGGTGCTTCCTGGCACTGAAGGGATGTCGACTGTTGTGCTTCTGTACAAGAAAGATCATTTGTTTGGGCAGCGGCCATAGCAGGAAGATTGAGCTTTGGTAAAGTAACTGCATATACTTGAACACGGGAAAGAGCGTCGGCAACATAGTTCGACTCGCCTTTAATATGATGAAGGTCTTTCGTGAACTGAGATATATATTCCAAATGTCTGAACTCTCGTGGTGAGTAGCGGTCAGATTTGGTATGGAGAGCATAAGTTAGAGGCTTATGGTCGGTGAAGAGAATAAAATTACGACCTTCTACTGCGTCCCGGAAATGTTTAATGGCACAGTAGGCTGCTAGCAGCTCGCGACCAAAAGCGCTATATCTCGTCTCCGTTGGAGTAATCCTCGTGAGAAAAATTAGAGAGGTGGCTTGAGCTAATGATTTTTTATCGCAGAAAATGCACTTTGCGCTGCACTTTTCAATTCTAGTGTGCGTGGATTACCGCGAAGTAAGTTGGTTAGTGATCGTAACTTCTCTGCTGCGTGAGGAATGAAACGTCGGTAAAAGTTGGCCAAACCGAGAAAAGTCTTCATTTTCTTGAGCGAGGATGGTACAGTGTACTCCATGATAGAACGTACTTTGTTTTCACAAGGTAGATTACCCTTATGCCTAATGATGTGACCCAAGAATTTTATGTCTTCCTTTCCCAGTCCACACTTGTCTGGGTCAACTACTATTCCATTATCCGAAAGGCTTTGGAATAAGAGCGTAGGATGTTGATAATGTTCATCTGCATTTGATGATACGATTAGCAGATCATCAACATAGACGTGAACAAAGGCAAAGTCTCGTACTATGCTATTGATAAACCTTTGGAAAGTTTGAGTAGCATTCGTAGGAACTCAGGAAGACCGAAAGGATTCGTGATAGCAGTTTTCTAGATATCCTCAAGAGCTACTGGAAGCTGATGATATGCCCGGACCAGATCAATCTTAGAATAGATAGTCGTGCCCTTAAAAGATGCCGTGATACCGTGTATGTGGGGGATATGATAGCCATCGAAACGTATTACTACGTTTAATGCTCGGCAGTTGCCACATGGTTGCCGACTTATCCAATCCTTTTTGCGAACGATGTGGAGTGGTGAGGCCCAGGGGCTGTGAGAAGGACGAATAATACCTGTAGCTAGTAAACTGTCAAACTCACGTTTAGCGAAAGCTAATTGGTCCGGAGCTAGTAGGCGAGGTCGTGCCGTGACTGGTGGTCCGCGAGTGACGATGCGGTGTACCACATGGTGAGTCAACGATAGATTCTCCTCGAGTGGTTTAGTTAGCTGGGTAAGTTTTTCGAGTAAAGCGTGGAAAATGTCATTACACGAATGAAATACCCCGTAATTCGTTACGCACCTGTTTGAACTCGAAAGCCCATAAATTTACTGTTCGACGAAGTATCGATTAGCTGAAGCTTACGTGAATCGACCAGCAATTCATAGTGCTGTCGAAAATCGATACCGAGTATGGCTGCGGGAACATCAGTAATGATGAACCTCCACAGATGCTGTCGTCGGTTGCTCAGATTGACCCACAGCTGTCGTGTACCATAGGAAGAAATGACAGAGCCATTTGCAGCGCGTAGTCGAAGTATCATAGGTTGGTACGACAGAAACTTGGGTACCTGTATCAACGAGGTACCTAGAGTTAGTGCGGATATAGTGCACGTAAAATAGGCGGGAAACCTGGGATGAGGGGTCGGCGAGCACGGCCGCGTTTACTCATAGTTGTTTCCCGACTTGTATGAGCAGGGGACTGGACAATGACGGGCGCCAGACCTTAAAGTCTGATGGAATCAGCACCAGCCGTTACTCGCTCTCGAAACCGCCTTTCGGCGTGGCTTGGAAGATGCTCGCTGGGGACGAGTACTTGCTGCCTTTTTAGATCACAAGTGGCCGTGTGGTTCGGGTACAGCCGATTGATATCGGAAATTATGAATACAACAAACCCTATTGATCTGAGCCTTAACGTGATTCGCATCGAGGTCAGCGCTGGTATGTGACGTGGACGCAACTGTATAGTTGTCTCGGTTGCCAGTTCGCGCGATAACTCTGTCTGCCACGAGTGCAACCTGGCTAAGCTGCATGTCCTCGGGCAGAGCAGCGACCCGAAGGGTGAACATGGGCTGATAGTGACTCTAGCCACAATTCTCTGACGATGCCAGAGTCGGATGCCGTTGGTTCTGCTTATGGTCGCAGGCGCGTGGGGTGGTGGCTTGGTCTGGCATCACCCAGGGGGTGACTTTCTAAAAGTATCCTCAGTCATTCCTCACTCGATGGGAGGAAAGGTCGAGGAATCGCCTGCTTGAGAAGATTGTATACGTCTGGTACAACAGAGTTTAAGATGACCTCACGAACGGCGGCTATATGATTCCCCGGTAGAGATTCTAGGGAGTAAGAATAGATTTGCCGCTGGTTCGTCACGCAGCGGATCTGAAACTGAGCTTCCTGTCCCGTGAACTAGACCTCCGTATCATGGAGGATAAGGGCTACAGGTCGAAATTTCAGATAGAAGTTTGTGCTGATGATGTTGCCCAGAAGAACAGTCAAAGCTTCACAACTAAAACATCCAGCTCAGAGGACCGAACACCAACACCAGAATCATCCACCTGAGCTACAAATCTTCTCCACCATCTCATAAATGTTTATATTTCAGCAGTCGTGTTTTCTTCGAAAACGCAAATCACTACAAATGAGACCGCATATCGGAAAGATAACTGATTATCTGACATGTGTGCGAAACAGTGAAATGTCAGACATGAAGCTGACTTAGACTAATATGCGAATTGAAAATACCGGAATAAATTAATGGTGAATAGAAAATAGACGTTAATAGCATGAGATAATGAATCCGTAATGTGGCTGAATTAGCTTCTTCGATGTTCTGTAGCTCATACTACCATTTTGTAAAGCAGTACGAATAAAGTTGAAAATCAAATATAAACCAGAAAAACACTTTAAATAGTGTTTGGCTTCGCTCCCAGGAAATTCTCCTTTCTCTAGTTAAGCGAAATCCACTAGACACAAAATAATATGTTAAAAAACCGATGTCTTTAAATGGTATCAAGAATTCCAAAAAGTCTCTTCGGAATAAGAAATTAAAAAGTTTATCTTAAATAGGCCGAGTAGAACTGTATTGTGTATGTGTGCCAAATTAAAATTCATGACATTAAGCATTTGATTGTAGGACATTTCTATTAATTATTCACAACACTAAGCACAATCTGACTGTCAATATATGTATCTCTTTCGTAGTTTTTATTTATTTGAGACTTCTTTAGATCTTCTTAGTTGTTCAGCAATATGATTTTCCCATCCTTCAGATATCCATAAGTCACGATTAGTGTGGAAATCATTAGGATAGGAATTGGAACTGAAGTTCTGAATCTTCTAGAGAATCAGAACTACCTAGATATTAATGTCGGGGTCACATACTTCATAGGTTTACATGTAGCTCATGAAAAAGATATTGGATTGGATGTTAGTCCACATATCTACTATGGGTTGAAGAAAAAACCTTACCAAGATAGACTCCAGCAGTTGGAATTATTCCCAGTGAGTTACAGGAGGATCTGATTATGGCGTACAACATATTAGCCACGCCAAACCATACCAACGTGAGCACCTTACCGATGGATCACGACAACTCCCTTAGAGGCAATCTTCGAAAAATCGCGCGTCAGAGAGAATACTGAGGTTTGTGCACAACTCTCCTTATCGAGAGCTGCCGCAACTTGGAATGCTCTCCCATCCGAGGTGACCATAGCCCTCTCAGTGGACAGCTTTGAGAAGAGACTTGATAATTACGTACTCACATATGGACAAGCTGTGCCTCATTCATATCTTGAGACCTAACAGTTATTATCGTTGCCACCTCTTCAGATCACTGAATTAATCTACTTTGCCTATTATCTCTGTTTCCTCTCCCTTACTTACACTTCGGTCCTCTCTCAAAATCTTCACTATCAATTAATAAACTAAATTATCTATATATTACTTAGTTCTGAAATCCTCTTCCTATTAGCATGAGAATTTTCTCCTTATTACTATCATCAACACTGCAACTAACCGGTCTGGTATTGTGAGAGCTGCTGGTATCCAGAAACCCTACTGCCGTGTGTTCATTCAAACCATAGGACTTACAAACTCACAACCAACTGCCAAATGACTGTAATTAGACTGACGATTAGCTAGATCCCCATTCATTGGAAACTATCAAACACCTGTAAACGTACCGAAAGAACAAGAATCCAGCGCAAAGAAATGAATTGTTTTATACCAGCTCATGAGAAAGATATTGGATATTGTATGGGGAGGTTATTTCAATTGGGGAACTGTGATCTCGCCACATGTTGTCTGGAGCCTAATTCCCGTAGATTGTCACCCGGTAAGACTATACAGACTTCCGATGATGTTTCATTCACAAGATCAGTTGAGACTTTTTCAGGCATAAATAGTTTGACTTAACCATTTGTTTTTTGTTAATGTTCCTCGATAAGATATCAGAACAACAAGTCCATAATGCAGTAATATGATTATTATACATCACTTTGATTCGCTGACGTAGTGGAAATCCTCTTAGTCTGAAAGAAATTCCCTGTCGGAGCAACAGGCTGACGGTATAGTGAAGCTCCTAAATAACCCTCCTCTTTTTCTTTTTCGTTTTAAGTTCATGACAGTCTACATTTCGAATTATATCATCTCTCCAATACTGCAAATACTTCTACTACTTGCAATGCTATGGGATTTGGGGTGAAAGACCCATTTCTCTGTGCTAATGTGGTATGGCAAATCGAACTGATGTACGTACTTAAAACGTTCTTATTTTTAGCTAACTTATTGACAGTGAAGCTGCGAAAAGATGGCAGTAGTAATAATTATTATAAACTCAACTGTTAAAATCTCCCTTTTGAACGAATTTCGTTCCCATTCACTATGACATCGGTTCATGGCTCAGTGCACTTGTCAATGACTTCATGATTTTCAGCCATGTTTTAGTTTGCCTGCCACTAGCTTTCTTCCAATATACTCGTACAACACAAAACATCTCGTCTAGGCAGTCTGTGGTTGGGAGATGTGTTACGAATGCCCAATCACCTCAACTGATGAAGTTTCAACACTTCATCTATTGATCTGCCATTCCTACCTAGTAGTCGTTTCCTCACGACAGCATTGCTTACTCGGCTGTCCCAGGTCTTGAAGATTCCAAATCAGGGCTTGCGTCGTGACACGTATGTGTGATTGCCGCTATGCGTGTCCTTTACACTTCCAGTATTTTTTCCTAATTTCTTCCTCAGCTGCAATTTGCTGTTCTATCCTACAGTAGGCTGGTGTTGCTTGTTTCTGGCCAACAGATACTCAGTATCTTGCAAAGACAACTGTTTATAAATATCTTTATCTTGTGGATGATGGCTTTCATAGTTCTCCAACTTTCCGATCCATACAATAAAACTGTCTTGACGTTCGTAATGAAAACTCTGATTTTGGTGTTGCTCGACAGCTGTTTTGAGTTCCTGATTTTCTTCAATTGCAGGAATACTGCCATCTCTTTGCTAATCCGTGTCTTCGCATCGGCATCAGATCCCCGTTGTTTCTCACTGATGCTGCCCAGGTACGTAAAAATCTTCACCTGCTCCAGAGCTCCATTAAGTGTGATTTGGTTGGAGCGCGCTGTGATGTATCTGATAATCTTGCTTTTTCCCTTGTGTATGTTGAGGTTCACTGTTGCAAAGGTTTCTGTTACATTGTCCTCCTTCACCTTCATTCGTTGCTGTGTGTAGGATAGAACAGCTAGGTAATCTGCGAAGTTCGAATTGCCCAACTACATCCAAGCTGTCCACTATGTCTTGTGCTTCCCCTGAGATGGAGTTTTTATGATCCTGTTAACCACCAAACGTAAGTGAACCAATAAAAATTAGCAGCCTTTTCTGACACCAGTCTCCATTCGGAATGCATTTGTGAGGTGTTATTCATGCGCTATTTTGTGATGTAGTCCATCGTAAGGATGCCGTATGATAGTGACTATTTTAGACACGTTGAAGTATTGAAGTAGATTGTATGAAGTTTTCCAGTCAACACTGTCAAATGCTTTCTCGTGGTCAAGGAAGTCGATACGAAGCGATGAGTTTAGCAATAATACGTTGATTTTCAACTTAAAAATGCAGTTATATTCTCTTGCTCACCATATTAGTGTGATTTAGTACGCACACCAGTACAATTTATGTTAGTTGATTTTTTTACCCAACAAATCTATTTTCTTTCTAGGGTTTTAACATTTCCAATGACTGAACTAGCTTCAGTTTACTCACAACCCACTAACTGTGCTCGTAAAGCAGAATTCACTTTGAAGAAGAAAAAACAAATTCCGCCTCCTAAGTATTTGTGTGTTCCTGGCTCATTGGCGTTTGTGGATAGGTAAATTTATAAGTATAAGGTTTTCACTCTGCTTATGCAAAGGATTTCCATTGTTGATAAGTCCAACTCACTATGCAGTGAAATCAGATGGTAATCAATTTACATTTTTTGTTCGACCTTTGTCAATCTGTCAGTCTGTTTCAAAACAATGATATAGATTTAGAAGTCGAGACACTGTATGTTCCGCAAAATAATCCAGACTGCACTGATATCCAGTCAGAAATTGGATTTGAAGGTAAATCGTTGAAAATTGGAAAGTCTCGTCGTTTATTAAAGAAAGAAACAAAACACGAATGGTTAAAAGTTTCAAATTGCCGCATTTTCTGGTAATTATACATTTTTAATGTTTTGATTCTTGATACACAAGACGTTTAGTGTCGTCCTATATTACCTGTTTAGAGATTGATTATTACTGTATAAAACTCTACCTATATGCATTAGTATCATGAAATAAATTATAAGTTATGATACATATTTTTGAATAAAAAGAGTTAGTTTCTGCGATTGTAAATTTTAATAACTTCGGTGAGGTAATTCATATTAAACCACTTAGCCCAGTATATCTGACTAGTTGAAATGGAATCAGATTTGAAGAGCTTCAGAACAATACATAATTCTTTAAAATGAATGGGTATAATTTTAAGTCAAATCGAAGTGATTTAGACTGCTGGAATTGGATCTGCAAAATGTTAAAAGTCTAATTTTGAAGGATCAGTTGGAAAGCGATCCCGCTGCCTTGGATTCCCTCACTCCTTATCCATTTCTCGTTGTTGGCGTGGTTTTACACACTATTTATCTTTTTGCTCTATTTTTATCGATGTCAAGCAACCTATGAATGTCCTCTACTCTCACCGGCTAGGTTTCGCATCCATTAAGTAGGACGGAACGAACTGCAACGCAGTACACTCATCCTTTGATTGACAAACGGACATCTCGCCTACGCCATAGGTGACGCACGTTGGCAGAAGCCAATTGAGCTCTCTGTATCCGTGCTGAGATTTCGTCAGTCACCAGACCATCAGCACTGATGAGAATCTTGAAGTAAAGTGGTCTACATGCTCAACTACTTCACTCTCTATCACTAGTTCAGGTGCCGATGCAACCCAGTCTTGAAGCAAAATTTTGCATTTCGAAGAGGAAAACCGCATCGCGAACATGCTTGCATTGTTGCTAAGGACAGTCAGAAGACTGCATTTTGTCAGCGTCTTCACCGAACAGGACTATATCATCTGCACACTTTAAGTCAGCAAGCGTGTCTCCTGGTAGAAAGTCCACTCCTGAAAAGTCTGACGAAGATAATGTTAACTCGAGAAGCCTATCTACGACAAAGTTAAGCAAGAATGTAGAAAGTGGACATACCTGATGGACACCACTTGAAGTAACTAATTCCGATGACAGTTCGTCATAAGCTGTCACTCGACCAGTCGTGTTCGAGTAGAGACCTTGTATAAGATCAATGTACTTCTTTGGTACACCTTTTAATGACAGACACATCCACAGGTCCTCACGATCGACAGAGTCTAATGCCGCCTTAAGGTCTGGGAAGACAACTATTGTCGGACGCTTATATGTGTCTGTGTTCCAGGACCTGACATAGTGAGAATATGTGGTCTATACAGCCACGTCCAGGCCTGAAACCAGCCTGATTTTCTCTTGTCTGCTCTTCATGAGCTCCGGTTATGCGTTAAGTATAATAGAGGCTAACAATTTAGAAACTATATCAGTTAGACTGATTTCCCTGTGATTGTCACAAAAAGACTTTTGTCCTTTCTTATAAATTGAGACAATCAGGAATTGAGACCAATCAGATAGTATTACGCCCAGTTCCCAGATTCCAGCTGAGATATCAGTCAACCTAACTGTTAAAACTGGGCCACCATTCTTCGAAATCTCAGTGGTCAATCTAACAGGTCCTGCTGCTCTCCCTCTCTACAGATTGCTTTTTGCTTTTTCAACTTCATAAAGAGTCGGAGGACTTTCGTCGTTTTGCCATTCAAGTTGACTGGAAGTTTCGGTAACCGAAGGCAGATGTTCTGATCTCTGAAGTGTTCTGCCCATCGATTTAATTTCCCGTGTTCAGAATCAAATTAGTCTCCCATTCGGATTCCTAATGCTGGTTTCCTTGATGAGTCTGAATAGTTGCCCACTGTTGTCTATCGCCGCTGCCTTTTCCATCTCCCTTGGTTTCGCTACCCACTACTGTTCGCGATCTTTCCATAGGCTTTCTTTCAACCTGCGCCTAAACCAACTTCGCACTTCGTCATGTTTAGAGCCAGTCAGGAGGAGTTTCCGAGCGTAAATCAGTTCGGTAGACGCGCTCGTTCTAGAGCATGGTCTGAGTCTAAAGAAGTGCTCCAGAATGAGTTGCACTCTTCGATAGAGCCTCTCCACCTATGTCTTATAGCAATTTGATCTGGTTGGATCCATTTTTGGGTCGTCTTTGGGGGTCATCAGGCCAAGATATGTTTTTGCTTATGCATAAAGTTAGTGTTTGCTAGATATAGGTGGTTATTTGAGCATAGTTGCAGCAGACGGTCCCCATTACCTGTTCGATTAGCCGCGACACAATAAGATCCACCCAGGTGTCTTTCCTTTCCACTGAGTCTACCTACTTGAGCATTGAGGTCACCAGCCATTATTACTCTATCAGAGTACCTAACTTTTTGGAGGAGAATCGATAGCTTTCTGTGAAACTCATCTTTCACCTCGTCTGAACTGCAGTCAGTGGGAGCGTGAGCATATACAACGAAGAAAGGAATTTGGAGTAGTATTGGTCGTAACGACCTAGGAGCAAGACTGCAGAGTGCAAGGGACAACTGTTTAAGGCCGGTCACATGCAACTGTTTATGAGTTTTTAAAATGTTGGCTCCGTTCTTGTTTAATAGGCATCACCGACTGAGACGGAAATCCGTGAGGTAAGGTGAGGTGTGACATTTCCAGGGTCGACCTTTTTTAACCGTTTCTATCCTTGTGTGAGAGGGCAGCATCGCTGCAAATGCTGGTTTTCGAGGGAAACACGTTACTGCTGTTAGAAGTACGGCTTCGCCCTCAGACCTTGAGTAGCCTATCTTAGTCTTACCGTTCTCCAATCGTACTGCTTGGCATGGTGGAACCTCAAGGAACATATATTCCAGCCAATATAGCTCGGTTGGGTCATCTTGTTAGGCAAGCCTGATCACCACGTCAAGATAGCAGGTACGGTCGGGAAAGCTGCTTAGCCAAATTCTGAACTAGTGAATATATTTTAAACCTGGTTCTGTGGACCTATAAGACATTTCTTTTTTCAAGTTTTATCAATGAATATTAGTAACGAAATTAAAATAATTCGGCGAAGAAAATTATTTTCACCTTTTAAATGGTGTAATATCTGTCTGATTTGTTATACATTTGTGTTTACTAATGAGCCATCACTTACGCTTCTAGATATTTGGCATTTTCACTACAGCGTGGTTAATGAAGATTTGCTGGAAGTTTCACCTCAGTAAATTTAAAACTCAATGAACCTCGTTTCGCAAACTTTTGTTTCGTGGACCGATTATTATTCCTGATTTCTACAGGATTGGTATTGGTAAATGATCCTGACCACTACAATTCCTAATCATTTAACGTCTATTGTCATTATCTGTTTTGGATTCTTTGTTAATAATATGGGCTCAAACTAATTTTACAATATCTTATACTTTACTACTATTTTCCTCTGTTAAGTTTGCTAAACAGACGCAAGATCTGATTTGCTATCCGCTCATAATAACCTCAGAGAAAGTCACGAAGTACGGGGAGAATGCTTTACTCGCATGTTAGTTTGTGCACAGAAAAATGAGGGTACTTATAGAGCCACTCATGACCTTGGACTTTTGAATAGATAGAGAACCATTCTAAATATAGTGACAATATGGCTAAATATCCAAACAGAATCATGATATATGGTTCCGCACTAACCGGATGTTGTTGCAGAGGTTCTATTCACTGCTGATTTGATGAAACATTTTCTGGAGTTGCTGGGCTGCTATAAACTCTTCTGAAAAATGTCTCAGGGTAACCCAACAACCTCGATAAGTTTTCGTGCTCAACTTCTTAAGTTACAGTTTAGTTTTCATACATTGACTTCGGGACGATCTGAATTTTAAATGCAAAGATTTACGTTTTTTTCTGAGGCCTTACAACTTCAGTAGCCACTACATTGTCTTGCTGTGCAATATTTTGAATCTCGGTTTTATAGCTCATAGTTTCCAGCATAATCCATCAATCCAGATGTAGTGTTACTCAAGCAAAATTTTATTGCTTCAATCATCAGGTCTCACATTTTGATGGGTGCAAATGAAATTATTCGATGTTTGGAGAATTCTGTACATAACAAAAATAACAGAGATACCCAGGAAAAAAGGATATCGTGCGTGTTCGTTGACTCAGGCTGGCTGACATCACAGTACGGTCACCATCTGGCTAATTTGTGTACACTGTTAGATATTAGAATAGTGGCAGTTAAACCGACAGGATCATTACCTGAGTTAGTCACTACCAAATTCAAACCCATAAAAAAGGTAATCGGTTTTACTGATCATATTACTTCAGTTTTGTTATGTTTATTATATTTATTTTCACCCTGAACATCTCGAAAATAGCTTACTTTTGCCTGCTCTACAGTAATGTCTAAAAAATGCTATATACGCTGTATAGCATCTCTTCATAAGTTCAGGCATTCATGAACTACTCCAAGCTTTGAAAATACTGACAGAAAATTTAAAATTAATTCTCTTTATACTCAGTCTGTCATCATAAATTAATGAAGAACGTGAAATAAATGCATGTTGGCCCGAGATGCCTAGCCACATCTGTATGAAGAAATGAAACTAATAATAAGATGAAAACCAAAGGAGTTAAATTAATATATTATCAATGATCTTGATGAAGACTAGAAATTGAAAATATGCCTCGAGAAGAAGGAATGGAGGAAGATGAAGGATAGATGCATCTGAGCCATTGTGAACAACACGAGGGGACTCTACCCACTGTCTCCAACCACTAACATCAGTTACCATCCGGACCCCAACTAAGTAAACTGGATCCACCAACATGGCCTGGACCAATGGTCGCTTACGTCATGAGTTTGACCTTTCTCATACTTATTCCAACTTCGTCTTACCACAGTTAATACTGAACGTCCAGTTAGGTGGTGTCCGGCGATACACAATCCATGTCTCAATTACCTCAGTCGATGAGGATTCACAGCAGCATAAATCGATTGGACATCTTTTGCGTTTTGTTTTATGTTCCAAGTTTCTTATTGTGAATTTTTCAAAGTTCTTCATATAATAAATGATCTAAGCACTTGTATTTCAACCATTACTTAGTAATTGTGAAAGTTGTCCCATCTTTTTTGGTTTACTCAGTCCAGTAGTTTCATCATTCTTTACGCAATATACGTTTGTAAAGTAAATATGAATGATCCAAACCTATGTTTGTTTTGCTGGTATTTATTTAGACTTAAAAATGCACATTAAATTAGCCTGGAAACTATTATTCATTCCCAACTGCATGGTGTTTAAAATCCTGTTTCAATTTCTTGTAGCTGGCGGTTTTGGGGCTTTGTTCATCTAATGAAATTCCACCAGATCTCTTTAAAGTTTGTAAACAAATCGAGATAGATTTTCCTATAGTCGGTCATAATACAGGTAATATTTCAGCCGTAATGGCCACCAACGTTCACGAGGCCTCATATAAAACGTCCAATAATCATTCAGAAGTTGTAAGTCCTAACCTTGTGTGTCCATAGACATAACTAAAGTTGCCATTTTAATTTTTTATGAATGTGTATGTATTTTCCCACTTCCGATATCACAATTTTGATTAATCTCGTTGGAAAACTATTGCATCCTGAAGTATTTTCTTATTCATTACAGTTCCAGCCATCATATCTTTCCGTTACCATAAAACACTACCGTGATAATTTCAGAAATACATAAAGTCCATTGTTATGTATAACTACGAAGCGTTTACAGCGGATATTCATTCATGCCGCATATTTTTGTCCGACGTTTTTACCATTCTATTTATTTTACTCTACTCATCCAATCTATAGCTACTACCTAGTCATAGTGGTCGGATTTTTTTGTGTGGTGTTCCGGTTAATCTGCGTAGTCTAAAACAATTCTTCGATAGCATTTAGGTTCGTCAGGAAATATTGACATATAAATCTGTTACCGTGATGCAAATTATGTAGTTTTCAGTGTGGGTTCAAATGCTATGTGGGAACAGAAATTAGATGGTATTAATGGTTTCTTCAAGACATCCTGATTACTCAGCTATCTTGTCATTTTACCTAGGAAACAAATGGTTAGATAAATTTAGCACTAAAATATGTGCATCTCTATCTTGTCCAACAGTCTTCCGTCGCCGATAGTGAGGCGATTAATGAAACTTCAAAGCTGCTTCCATCTCTGATAACTGTGTGTAACTGCAATCAAACAAATATCTCTTAGGTTTTGGTTTGTTTTTAGATTTTTTTGACAGATCTCAAGCTCTAGGTTGTGGAAAACTATAACCAACACTAACCATTACTTCTCGATTACAATCAGAGTTTTTTTATGATTGTCATTTATGACTGTTCTGTTTTCTCTCTATGTATTCACTATATTTTATTAAAAACTTCCGTAGTTTGTACACCGCTAACTATTCATCGGCATGTATGTAAATGTAGGAGAAAAATTAACTCCTAGAACACAATAAGTGATCATATTACAGGCAAAGTTAAAAGGTTGAGGCGTATATAGTGTTTCAACTCGCTTTTTCATCACCTTTAACATGTCAGAAATGAATAGGAAAAACAATATGATTTCAAATAAAAAAAGAAATAACCTCATAGAAAAGGGTATTAAAGAATGGATACAGTGTTAAAGATGCGGCATTTCTTGTTTTTCCTATTCACTTCTGACATTTCGAGGATTATAAAAAAATTTTAAAAACGCTGTGAAAATTTTGAAAAAGGTTTTGGTTATTTTAAAAAACCCTGTTTAAAATTTAAAAAACGAGTTGAAATACTATAAATGCATTTATCTTGACATGTAAGCTGAGCTTAGTTAGAAAGGCTAAACTAAGTTGAAACCTGTTTTTATGGTGTATTTTGCGATATATAAAAATAGATGTAAACAGATCAAATGACTGTTGGTCATTTACGATAAATGTTCTCTCCCTAATGGCTGTTTGAATATTTCTACAGTTAAATTTTTAGCACCGACAGTTTAGTGAGTAACATTAACAAAAGCGCTATCCTGTATAATCGTTCACGTGACCGCTCAGATTAATTTTAAAAGTATTTCATAATGAGATCTAGCTGTTCGGAGTCTCGTTAAAAGTAGCAACCGTAATTCAAATGTTTTCATAGTCTTCACTCTATACAGATAATGTGCTATCTAAAAGGCTGTCAGAATATTTCAATACATTATAAGGTGGAGCATATTTAAATAACTTCCAAGTTTATTTCCGTGTTTTGGACTTCTTGAATGTTTACACGTCCAGAATCAATAATGATCACACCAGTGTAGATCAGCTTGTAAGTGATTTTTTTAAATGTAATCAGCAGTTCTGACTTTTATGTCTACCCAAGTTTGATCGAAAGAGAATAGACTGTTAATAACGATGCCTGTGATTAAATTGTAAACTATTTTTAATCCGTTTCCATTTTTGAATGCGCTTGCTTTCTTTAATCATGGTTTCCTATTGTAGTCTTTACTAGTCGAGAAAAAAGGAGGCTGGGAAGATGTAGAAATCAGTTCAGCATTATATGATTATGATTCACCACCTCATGAATTTACTATTACTGAATTTCAGTCTTACCTATCTTCTATCGTTCTTCAGTCATTTGAAAGCAGAATTGTTCATGATATGCTTGATAGTGACAACCAATCTGATTTTGAATACAGTAATAACTTTTGTGCATATAGACCACCTTTGTTAAAACGGGTTGCCCCTCGAATGGAACGTAAAAGTCGAAAACAAAAAAGGTCTGCATCACAGTCTATCAAGATAAATGATTCCGCATATCCTGTCAATGTTCAACCACCAATTTCAGTCGGGAAAAAGACAAACAGAAGTACAGGTGATAAGGTAAAGCGAGAAGAGGTGCTACCTATAATTGGCTGATTTCACTTTACTGCTGAATTTTTTTGAAATCTATGTACCTAGTATGTAATAAAATTCCAACAGTTCTTTTTAAATTTGTTTTGTTGTTATTTATTTGTGTGTTTTTGTTAATGTGTATTGTTTGGTAAAAAAAATCGTTGATTGTTGTGAACCTTTGATTTATCTGCATTTACTCCAAACCTTCAATCTGGCAATGTCATTTTCTTGTCTGAGCACTCTGATAAATCCCTCATTCGACTTAGGCGAACATAGTACATTGGATTTCGCATTGTTAAATTTGCCGTAGCTAATACTGTCGACAAAAATTTCAATTTTTCAATCAGTTGACTTAATCCCATTCACTTGGAATCCCACGGCTAATTACAGCGTAGTTCGTTCAATGAATTCATGGGATATAACTTATTCCCTAAATGTCATATTTTATAGCTAAGTTAGTTACTGTAGGTTCTTTTGATGCTTTTACATTTGCTCTCTAAGTGATGATAACTTAATTAAGAAATGTGTTTCACTTGCCCTATCTTGGACAGCCTCAAATTCCTGTTTGTCACAATACCAGGTTTATGAGTCCTCGTTTCTGAAAGCCTTGCCTAGCATCATAAGTTTTCTGTATCGGAAAACAAGCATCACTAGCTAGGTCCCTAAAATTTCATACTAATGGTGTATCTTAAGTCTCTGAAACACATACAAGATCCTAGCATGGTTATTAATTTAATATCAACTAGCCGGCATGAAGCGCAAACACATTGGTTGATCTTATGGCGTCTCAACCAAAAAGACCTAATAGCGATCGTCTGTTGCAAGTATGCTCAGAAAACCGATTATTCCTACCAAGTAAAAACTCTAAGCATGAGAAAAGATATTCTCGAACATAGACATACCTAACATCAACACAGCGTTCGAGACAGATAAATCCTATGATCAGCCATTGCTATTGGAGCTCGATAGGAAAATGTTGCTCCATCTCGAACAGATGCTTGGATACTGATAATGTCCATGTGCGTGGAAGCATTCTAATGCTTCGTGTTGCACGTAGGAAGATCGCAAGAGGAGGGTCTGTTAAATATCGTTCTGAAGAGGGAACAGTTGGTTAGGCGCCTGCTTTATCGCCAAGAAAAGGTTAGTCTTGAAGAAGCTTGAGATGAAATATAAAGATTTGTAAATACTAACAGAGTCATCTGCCAACAACTTAAACCAATATATTTCGTTTGTATCTACTGAATTGATAGATGCTGGAAAACTCATCTTGGCAGGCTTGAAGTACGATGAATAAGGACAAAACCATAAACGAAATTTGCAAAATGTTTACGTAACAATCGTGAGTAGTAGTGGTGAAAGAGGGCAAAAGAGATGGACAACGTAGCAGAATTAGGTAACATTGAAGAACTACTCCTATCCATCAGGAAAACAGGTGTTTAAAAGGTGATTGGTAATGAAACTCGGATAAAGACAAAGCTGTTATCCAGTCCCAATATAGGTGGGTAGAAAATTTAGGGGACAGTTCACCTAACCCCTGGCTACCCTCCAATTACTTGTTATTTTCAAACAAATTGGATTAGAGGTGAAATAGGGCTACATCTAATCTAAGGTGAGGAAGGACAGCAGACTAACGGAATAATAGCGGTGATCTCTAAGGATCCTGGTCCAAGCTGAGTAGTAAAATCGGCGTAGACATTAGCTGGAGTTTGGGAGCACTGGTTTGGCCAAGATGTCCTCCTGCTAACCAAAGGGTGTATATACAATGCGCTAGTCTTCTCTGTATTACTTAGTGGCTGAAAAATGTGGTCTCTGGAAACAGAAGACATGAATTGGGTGTAGGATTTTGTTACATGTATCTTCAAAGTATTACTTGTATATCATATAAAAACCAGAAGAGCTGTGTTGAGGCTAGAGATAGGTTACTATTGAAAGATGGGCAATCGATTTATGCTGCTGTGAATCCTCATCGACTGAGGTAATTGAGACATGGATTGTGTATCGCCGGACACCACCTAACTGGACGTTCAGTATTAACTGTGGTAAGACGAAGTTGGAATAAGTATGAGAAAGGTCAAACTCATGACGTAAGCGACCATTGGTCCAGGCCATGTTGGTGGATCCAGTTTACTTAGTTGGGGTCCGGATGGTAACTGATGTTAGTGGTTGGAGACAGTGGGTAGAGTCCCCTCGTGTTGTTCACAATGGCTCAGATGCATCTATCCTTCATCTTCCTCCATTCCTTCTTCTCGAGGCATATTTTCAATTTCTAGTCTTCATCAAGATCATTGATAATATATTAATTTAACTCCTTTGGTTTTCATCTTATTATTAGTTTCATTTCTTCATACAGATGTGGCTAGGCATCTCGGGCCAACATGCATTTATTTCACGTTCTTCATTAATTTATGATGACAGACTGAGTATAAAGAGAATTAATTTTAAATTTTCTGTCAGTATTTTCAAAGCTTGGAGTAGTTCATGAATGCCTGAACTTATGAAGAGATGCTATACAGCGTATATAGCATTTTTTAGACATTACTGTAGAGCAGGCAAAAGTAAGCTATTTTCGAGATGTTCAGGGTGAAAATAAATATAATAAACATAACAAAACTGAAGTAATATGATCAGTAAAACCGATTACCTTTTTTATGGGTTTGAATTTGGTAGTGACTAACTCAGGTAATGATCCTGTCGGTTTAACTGCCACTATTCTAATATCTAACAGTGTACACAAATTAGCCAGATGGTGACCGTACTGTGATGTCAACCTGCCTGAGTTTTAAATATCTCATCACGACTTATATTATATTTTTGCTTTTCAAGCTTTTCATATCTCTGTTTTTAATCATAAGTAGTTGTATATGGTTTATAAACACTTTTTATGAAAATGTTTTTACGTGATGTGTATGTCGCTTTGTTCTTTGCGTTCTGTCGGACTGCTTATTTCGGCGCTCATTTTTTACGGGCTAACAAAATGTGTTCGAAACAAGTGATTTATTTGATCATTGTATTATTTGGATTTTTTTAACTTTTGCAATTAAAATATGTTTTTTTTTCGTTATAATATCATAATTATATTTCATGTTATGCTAAAGGTGAATCATCCATCATTGGTGTTATTTGAAAATAGTTGTTTAATTTAGTTTTACAATGAATGATCTGAATGAAGAACAGTTGGATGAAATCGCTTTAAATAATTTCATTCGATACTTACAATTCGCAACAGTTCATCCTAATCCATGTTATCAACCTGCTGTTGAATGGCTTGTGAAATTGGGCCAAGAGTTACAGCTCATTTGTAATGTAGTTGAAATCGTCCCAAACAATCCTATCGTTATTATGCGTTGGAATGGATTTCAACCGGAATTGCCGGCAATTATGTTGAATTCACACATGGACGTAGTACCGGTAGTGGAAGAAAAATGGTCATATCCTCCATTCGGTGGTGTGATTGCTCATGATGGTAAAATATACGGTCGAGGTACTCAGGTAATTAAATCTCATGTTATTTACTGCTGGAATTTATTATTGCATTATTCTAGCTATAATAGAACAAGCCAAATAGTATTGTATTTTTAAAACTTGTCTGTTTACTCATATGTAAGTGGTTAGTATGATAAATTTATTGTTGTTAAACCAGCGGATTGATATGATTGTGTATATAAGAATTATTTTACTGAGCCAATATTTTTCATGTTACATGTTATTAGCTGGTTTTTCGATGCAGGCTTGTTTTAACTGTTCACGTGATTGCATGTACCTTATAGAATGGTCGTTTACATGTTAATACACGTTTGTTTACTCTGTTAATTAAAAGTGTAGCTACCACGAAATTTGAATTGTAAAACAGTCGGCATATTTTCCGTAAAGTTTCAATGATGTGGTGTGACATTTCCACTGGTAATCAATTATAATCAATCCAGAACTTACCAGAAATGCACATCGACCTTAATTCCTACACGATATCATAACCGTGTTAAAAAACCGACAAAATCTGCAGTAAGGCTTTTGGAATAATATTACGTTGTAAACTGCAGGAGATTATCAACTGATTAATGAAACAGTTTGATGTTTTTAAGCCGGAACTGATGTGGAGATTGATTGTATTAGCACACAACATATTTGTATATATAAATCCTTGGTTTTGTCAATTGCCGTGTGATAATTATGGATTTACAACTATAAAGCCTGATGATTAAGTTATTGAACAACGTTGTTTCACTATTCTTGCATTCCTGTTAGTCAGTTACAACGTAGAACTGTGTACATCATTACAAGTTGCCACACCGCATTTGCACAGTAAAATAGGATTGTGAAATGAAGTCCCTCAGTGGTAGAGGTAATAGAAGTATGAACAGTAATTGGAGAGATTAATGTTTGAAGATATTATTCAAGAAATAAATTCAGAAAGAGAATGATGCAGTGGCGCTTGTGCATTCATTCTTTGGCTTCCCTTAAATCCTAATCTTTTAGATTCTTCATCACTCCTTTCTGGATTTGAATTGACTATTGCGTCTCTATGCTAATGTGATATGCCAACTAGAAATGATTTACTTACGTATGAAGTTCGAGGTTGTAACCGACTGACTAACTAACTGAGTAGATGTTTGTTGCCTCTTGGTATTCAGTAATTGTCGAAGATCAATCTGTGATGCAAACACAGAAGTTAATTTAATACTTGTACAATTTAGAACTACGTTATGGGATTCACTGTCACTAGATCTTATATAATTTACATTTTTCGATGAAGGATATGAAATCAGTTGGTATTCAACAGTTGGAGGCTGTTCGAAGATTGAAGTCACGTGGATACCAACAGTTACGTCGTACAGTTTACTTGACTTTTGTTCCTGACGAGGAGCTGGGTGGTGTAAAGGGAATGAAACCGTTTGTATCAAATTATGATGAATTTAATAATCATCATCATTCTGAAGAAATCAAATTTAAAGATATGAATATTGGATTTTGTTTAGACGAAGGCATACCAAGTTCTTCAGATGAGTATTTAGCATTTTACGATGAACGTCGTCCAATTTGGATAAATGTACATTTTCATGGGAATGCTGGTCACGGTCTTGCCTTGATTGACAATACGGCTGCTGAAAAATTCCAGATATTTCTAAACCAGTAAGCTTTTTCAAAATATTTTCCTTATCTTTATTTCAATTTGTGTTGATTCCATATCTTGTTTTCGAAGGATTGAATTGATAAATTTCTTTTAACATATATCCTTTACATATATAATTTGATGTTAAATTGTAGCATATCTTTTTTTCTTTCGTTGGTGGCCAACAGTACGCTTTTTGTTCAAATTCAAACCCCTCCCCCACTAATTGTGTTTGCACTCTTTATTGTCTACGTACCCACTGAATATCATGACCACCACAAATCGTTTTCAGGTTCGTGATATCGATGATTAGCGGAAATAGGTCTGTAAATATAGTGATAGTAATGACGGTCAAGCATATAACCTTTCTTATTTTACTGTAAATCCTAGAGATGTCGATTATTCAGCTTCATATGTAAGTCCAAAGGATTTAATGTGTATTTTTTTTCAAAAAAATTAAAGATCCTCATAGTTAACCAATATTAAAGTAAATTATATCGTTTCATGTGGGTCACTTCGTAGTTAGTCGAACATTTCACTCGTTAAACCGCTAGCCTTCGAACCCACTGAATAATTCTACTAGAATAAACTTCATCACAAACATCACCTAAAATTTCCAATAACCAATGTTCAATACTTTATTGTTAGTAATTTAAACACCTTTTAGATTTGCATGATTTTTCGGGTTAAAGATTTAGCTCTCGAAATGAAAGGCTTATAAGTACTGAAATTCCTGTTATTCTTCTAATGAGACAGATCAACACTGAAAATGGAATTAAACTATAATGAATTAAGAAGATTTTGTTTACCGTGATTTATATCTCCAAGTAGACAATTGTTTAAACGAAATTTGTGCATAACAGTTTTGTGATTTTAATTCTCAGTATTTACAGTTTCCGTAAAGAAGAACAATTAAAGTTAGAAAATTCTCTAGGAAAGTTAACGTTGGGGGATATAACAACAGTTAATATGACAATGATAAATGGAGGTGTACAACATAATGTTGTACCTGGAAAATTGTCAGCGTCATTTGATATTAGATTAACTCCATCGTTGTCACTGGATAACTTCAAAGAGAAATTAAATCAATGGGCATCAAACGCTGGTGGACAGATTGAGGTTAGTTCTTAAATATTTAGCACAGTTTTTTGTATCTTTTATTTGATTATTGTTTCTTAGGAAGTCGAATTCTATAGAATAGAAAAATCGTCTAAAAATCGATGAGAACTGCTTATTTACTGTTGCTCTGTGTACGATTATAGGTCATGATTAATGGTTTAAGGATAGGGTTCATTTGTGCGATGTATGGTACTTGTATAGAAAGTTAAGAGCTGTTGTGACGTCCAGCTTTTAGTAAGTTTGCATCTAGTCTGAGGGTCCTTTACGTGCTGTGGAAGATTGTAAGGGGCAGTTTGTGAGATTATCTGCAAGAGAAAAAAGGACATGATAAAAAGTGAGTCGACGACTCATCAGTAAGCTCATGGAATGCACTTACACTTATTAAAGAAAGCGATCGTAACGATCATAACTACCACAAATGTGAGACTAAGGCAAACTGATAATCGAAACCGGAAGTTTCGAATGCGTTACACCATTCATACTTAATTATCGTACACTCAGTTCTGATTGGCTCGTCCTTATGTTTTTAAATTTTAGCGTTCTGTTTTCTTTTTAATAATGACTAACTTCTACCCGTATAGTGCGTAAAGTACGGCAAAGTAGCATAGCACTGACTCAGTGATTTTACACTAATTAACTCGTTATACTATTTGAATATATAATTTACATGCTTTTCTAACTTATGCGAAATAAATAGTATCCTTACACTTTTTATCGCAGTTATCACATACTTTCCTAATTAGGTCTTAGTTATCGGGATACTTTACCTTCGTCAGACATTTTTTCTTCAATGCCTTTAATTTTAGATGTTGTTACCTTGTTGAACGAAAATGAAATAATCATTCAGCCCCATGTCCAAATGAATTAGATTTCCGTAGTTGTCGAAGATCTGTAACTCCCTATATATTTAAGTATGAACAGTGCAGTTCCATACACCAAACTATGCACTACCCTTTGTTTCACGGCCAAAGAGATTACTGAGCTTTAGTAATTAAAAGACTTAGCCTTCACTTATTAGGTCGTTGGCTCAAACTCCACTCCTTCGACTCTGGTTTTGGTAAGCAATCATTATCATTAGCTCTTGAACCATGTAGTGCGGCTCAAAAAAGAGTACACTAACCTATACATATTGATTGATTTACTCTGGGCTATCCATAAGTTTTTGTTTAAATCAGTGAACTAGCCACTAGAAGGTAACTGACTAATCCACAGAGTATGAGATCTTCATATCACTTGCTAGCTTCCCATACATTGGGTCTTAAAAATATTACATCGTATGTGTTGAAGCTTCCACAGAAAGCATGGATGAACATATCAAACACAGTAACATTCCACTAGATTCTTAAGTTTGATGAAGTTCGCCTTATACTCTTGTCAGTTTTGCGGTTGTTTATAGTTAATGAACTCTTGGTGTGTATGTACCATGTGAATTACCGGTCTAATATTCTGTTATTTCTGTAATTTAGTTCGAATTCATCAACACCGGCGTTGATTTAAAACAATCAATTCATACCCCAGATGAATCAACTAATTCTTGGTGGGCTGCTTTAATGAATGTCTGCTCAAAATATGGTAGTAAGGTTCAAAAGAGAATATTTCCTGGTGGTACAGATGCCAGGTTTCTTCGAGAATATCATTTACTTCCACATGTTACTAATCAAAAACCAATACAAGCGATTGGCTTTTCGCCGATTAGAAATACTCCAGTTTTGTTGCATGATCATGATGAATGGTTAGATAAAACAGAATTTATACGTGGATGTCGACTGTACTCTGATCTTGTTCAAGCTATTGGTGAACTGCCATAATTCAGAGTTGTTTATTCAGTTATGTTACTTGTGTATACGCTTGCCTTTATGATAAATCATGATCAAACCGGTTGTCACTGATTGTATTTGGAATCCATATTTCATTAATAATAATAATAATAATAATAATAATAATAATATTTATTCTCAGATAACAACATGCTACAAGAGGCACGCCAATTAACAGGCTAGATCAATTTGTTACAAATGCTACCACATTCACTACGAAAGTTATCGAAGTTATTTTAAATGTAAGAGTCTGCTTCTGATAGCACATTGACACCATGTCACTGACAGGAACAATTTGATACAACCTTGTTTTGAATCAGCGAGTACAAATAGGGAAGGTACACAGTGGAGTTCTTGGGTGGTTTGCATAGTTCATGAGTGAATTTGTTGGAGTGTGTCATTTGGAAAGCGGTAATACTAGCTGTGACCTAGACGTCAGCGTACAGACGGTGCATTTAGCCTGGAGTCGCCATGGATGTCCCACTGTGAATAGTGTTCTGAGAAGAGACAAAAGAGAGGGAGAAAAAAACAGCAACGAGGCAATCGGCTATATGTAAGCAGAACACTGCTTAACCTTTAATGATGAAGTAGACAATGCAGTGGTAACTCAAGATAAAATCCATACTGACCACTAAAATTAAAGTAATTCGTAGTAATATAGCCCACAAGTTAAGAAGCACAACAATGAAGAAGGAAGGGTTGTGTAGTGTATCAAGTGGACAGAAGAGAAAATGAAGTGAGAAGCTGGGTGCATGTAAATTGAAACCGAGAGTTCAGTAAGAAGAGTAAAGTTTGGTTAAAAGATTGATAGTTATATTTTTCCCTGCCGAACGCCTTTTTTATCGAATGCCGACCTCGAAGTCATACTGTAAGTGCCTGAGTAAGCATGTTGCGGGTTGCCTTAGCAAAATAGCGACCTCAGTATATTTTTGGAAACAAGATTCTCGGAAGTAGCGAGCGTATAAGACCAGCCTCAGTATCACTGATTTATCGCTTCATCAATCGAAAAGGGCGGAAAGTAAGGAATATGTTAATGTATTATTATCCAGACTCTTCCGAAATGGGAGTCAAAACATTTTCCTCTTTGTGCTGTTGTGTTTATCGTCATCTTAAAGCAATCGTTTTAGTTCCTTAAGTGCGTCTAAAGTATTTTGTGCCTAAGTTTTTCTCTGATTTAAGCTTTCGTTGCTAATTAATCAGGATGTGGGATTCCGTATTCTTGTACAGATTAGCATCGCCCATAACCATCCTGTTGCTGTGGACATTTTCCCAGGTGTATTTGAAAAGCAGTCTTGGCGCATCTAGGCGGTTGACAGCAGAACTATACTTAGAAACATAAAAGACGGTTTTTCCCTTAGTCCAGATGTAAGGACGTTTTTCAAGTTCATATTTGTGCGTCAGGGCATTCTCTTAAATTTGTCACAAGCCGTTACTACGTGTATTTTGATTGATGAAACGCATTGCCATCAATTAATCGCGACGTAGAACTTAGTATCTATACGCACATCAGTTCATGTTGCCATACCACATTATCACAGAGATGTAATTGTCAATTCAAATCCAACAGTAGTAGAGGTAGTAAAGGTATTAGCAGTAGTCGCTAAGGTTAGAATTAGAAGATATTATTCAAGAAGTAGAATCTAGTGAAATAGACTCAGACGGATAAAAACAAAATGATTGAGAATTAAAAAGTTTAGGATTTGAGAGTACACAAAGAGTAAATGCACCCGCGCCACTGCAAACGATTTTGAGCCATGTCGTTCAAGGTCTCTAACCATCGACTATTATCATCTTTCGGACCCCAACCAGGTAGTCGACACCTACCGACATTACTCAATACACTTGTCAGTGACTTCATGAATTTGTGCCATGTTTTGGTTTGGTCGCCCCTATCTTCCTTCCAACCAATTCCTACACCGCAAAATATAACTCGACGAGGCAGTCGGTGGTTATGCATTCGTAACACACGTCCCAACCTCCTCAATTGATGAAGTTTCAATATTTCATCTATTAATCTACCATCCTTACCTAGCACCCGTTTCCTAATAACAGCATTGCTCACTCGGTAGTCCCGCAGTACACTGGTCCTTTAGTCAGCAAACGGATATCTCGCCTGTGCCATAAGTGATGCAAGTTGGCAAAAGCCAGTCGAGCTCTCTGTATCCATGCTGAGATTTCGTCTGTCACTAGGCCATCAGCACTGAAGAGACTCCCAAGCTACGTGAAGCGGTTTACACGTTCGACTACTTCACTCCCTATCACTAGTTCAGGTGCCGATGCAACCCAGTCTTGAAGCAACATTTTGCATTTCGAGGGTGAAAACCACATCCCGAACATGCTCGCATTGTTGCTTAGGGTAGTCATAAGACTCCACCGAATAGAACTATGTCATCGGCATATTCTAAGTCGGTAAGCGAGCCTCCTGGTAGAAGGTCTACTCCTGAAAATTCGGACGAGGATAAGGTTATACCTAGGAGCATGCCTATGATAAAATTAAACAAGAATGGAGAAAGTGGACATCCTTGACGGACACCACTTGAAGTAAAGAATTCCGATGACAGCTGTCATTCGACCTAAAATGTTCGAATATAGAGCTTGTATAAAGTTAATGTATGTCTTTGGTACACATTTTAGTGACAGACACATCCACTGAACCTCACGATCGACAGAGTCGAATGTCGCCTTAAGGTCCAGGAAGGCAACTATTGTCCTGTGTTCCAGGACCTGTAGTAGTTACCGGTTAGGAATCTGATTGTTATTCGATCTCCTGACGATCTGTCATATGACCTGACCAGCACTATTGAGCTTGAATCGACTACCAAGTCCTTATTGTTCCATTAATCTGCAAACTCTCTCTGCCCTTTCCTTGATTTCAGAGGTCAGTAACCAGCCTCAACTACATTGTATTCCAAGCAGACGCAGTCTATGTCTAGATATACCAGATCACATTAGAATTGAAGTTAAAATCTTTTCGAAGGCTGGATGTATTTGAATTATTAGACCACATGGTCATCATAATGTCTCCTTTAATGAAATAAACCTAAAATCTTAAGGTAGTTTTCTCCATTTTTTAATGAGGGGTACTAGTTTTGTTTTGTTATTACGATTTATTTCGGAATGTATAAAAGCATCTTTATTTCTGCAGTTCATATATGCAAGCAATTACTCCATACAGTCAGTAACTACTAATTCAGAGATAATAACTTAATTATCTTATATGTGTAGATATTGACTTCAGAAATATATATATATATATATATATATATATATATATATGTTACGGGAAATCACACTGTTCCAATATTATATGTTCTGAAGTAATTGTTTTCCAACTTATAGTTACATACTTTGACTAGCATTGTATCTTTTAAATCATTTATACACTAAGTTGTGCCACTGAGTTTCGTGTTACAGGCGGATCGTGCCAGTTTACAGGCAGCTGAGAAACGCCTTACCGAAGAGCGCAAACATCGTTTACTTCTTGAACAGCAGTTTAAACAGAAATCTGGTAAACAAATAGATGCGAACTCCTCAGAATCAGCATCTAATGAACCTGCTATTTCTAAAGCCACAGATTCCAAGTAAGTAAGTTTTTATTTAGATTGTCTATACCCTCCTCAACAATCAGTCTTTTTGTCTTGTCACATATTGTGGACTGCTTTTTATGCGTAACCAGTCTGTAAAAAAGGTGGTAATGTTTTATATCTCCTAAGGTTCTAGTGAAAGGTAATATTTGTACATCATAGTGTGTCGTTCTTATACTGAGCGACTACCCACCATCAATTTGTTGAACGTAGTTGATATAGAAAATGTTATCGTAACTCAGCATTTCAAACGGATAGTGTCTTTAGTTATCTCATAATGAAAGCGATTCTAAATGGTAAGCTAGATGTAGAATTGTAGTAAAATGTACACCACACTCCTAAGAATATATATTTTAATAATTGAAGTCTGGTTATTCCCATTTTGACTGATTTCCCTGTGATAGCCACAAAGGACTTTTGTCCTTTCTTAGAAATTGAGACAATCAGGAATTGAGACCAATCAGATAGTATTACGCCCAGTTCCCAGATTCTAGCTGAGATATCAGTCAACCTAACTGTTAAAACTGGGCCACCATTCTTCGAAATCTCAGTGGTCAGTCTATCAGGAGCTGCTGCTCTCCTTCGCTTCAGATTTCTTAACGCATTCTCAACTTCGTAAAGGCTAGGGGGACTTACGTCGATTTGCCAGTCAGGATGAACTGAGATCGTGGATAACCGAAGTGTGGCTGAAGCCCAGTTGAACTGATCCCTACAGTGTTCTGCCCATCGTCCAGTCTCCTGGATTGAGAATGGATAATAAGACCATCCTTTTCTCAGATAGTCTCACTCACATTCGAGTTCCTAATACCAGTTTCCTTGATAATTCTGAATAGTTGCCTACTGTTGCCTATCGCCGCTGCTTTTTCCATCTCTCTTGGTTTCGCTACTCACTACTGCTTTTTATCAGCCTGCGCCTAAGCTGACTCCGCTACTCATCTTGCTCAGAGTCAGGAGGGATACGTTTTCGAGCATCCATCGTAGAATCCATTTTGAAGTCTTTGTTTTGGGAAAATCCCTCCATGTATATATTTGTAAAATGTTCTTAATGACTCCTTTTGTTCAACATTTTGGGGCTCACTTCAACCCTATTTTGTGATGTTAATACTTGTATAGTTTCTAATTTTCTACCTTTATTGGAGTTTCTGTTTTTTACTGAACTGTATTATGTTGTTTAAATTGATTCCTAATTTTGGCTTCAACCATATCGGGTAAAACGTGCATCCGGACTGGAAGGATGCAATTTCGGAACTATATGAAAGCATTCTTTCAGAACTGGGAACTCATTGTGTTATTTTTGATGGAAAACGGTGTAATATTGTTTAAGTAACTATCTGTATTTTTTGATTAATGATAGAACCGTTTCTTACCCAGATAAATTACTTTTTTTGGGATATCCGGGCAAGGCGC